AAAAAAAAAAAAAAAAAAAAAAAAAAAAAACCAGCTTATTTCTTCCCTAGTTACAAGCCTAGATTGCCCTTAATGTCTAACTTCGAAGAAAACCATATTAACACTTAAACTGTATTGAAAACGTCCTTTAAGATAATCTTCCTACGCTTTACATGTAGGTTGTCAGCCCCCACGCTTTTCGGAACGAATGCGATCTAAAAATACCTCTCTATACTACGAAACAATTCATGTTTACACGGATTCGCGAAATGTTTTTGTGATAGTGGACTCAAAAATTCAATATTCAAATCTATTGATGAAATAAAAAATAGAAAGAAAAATACGGATTAGCATAATATTTTTTTCCTTTTTGTTCTGTGTACAAATATCATTTTTTTAACACGTACGACATTTCACTTGAAAAGGCAAAAAAGTTAAAATTCCGAGGAATTCGCTCGTTCCTAGAGGGAAGGAAGTAGTAGAGTATAGATATAGCTCTTCGAAGCCCCAAAGGTTAAATTTTCGGTGCTAAAAGCTCCGGAGGAGTGTCAATGCCGACTGCTTTGCATATATTGAATGATTTAGCGTCGTTCAACGCGGAAATTTGTTGTCTTGGCCAAGTCGTCGTTGACGTCATAAACCAAAACTGACATAACTGCTTACTTAGGCCGAAGACTGAGTACATGGAAACATCAACATGGTACGAACAAAATCGTGTGTAATCCTTCTGTGGTAGAACAAGCTCTCTTTTGGTCTAATGCTCTAGAAAATCTTAGGATATTTTTGGTATATTTAGAGAGGTTTACCATTACTAACGGCCTAGTTCAGGACATGGTTCACAAATTGGAAAGGTTGGTTTATCACTTTCTTTTCGTTTTTATCTCAATATCTCTTTCTTTATTTTAAATTCATTTGTCCAAGATTTTAGGAGTATATTACTTTTTTTTTTTTGAGAACTATACCGACGACAAAAAAACTTAGAACTTTTTTAGTATCATTTTATGAGTCTAAAAACCTGTTTTTTAGTTTCATCGATATGAAGATTGGATATCTTAATTGCATACGTACATATCACTTATTTAGAGAGAGAAAAGTCGTCTAAAATTTCCCCACATTAACAGCAAAAGCACCATTAAATGAGCCAAGAAAAAAAGGGTTTTAGTAAATACTCATACTCATTATTATTGCCAAATAGAATAGTATTATGACATCTGTCCATGTGGAAGGGAAAATCTGCAGTACAATTACCTAAAGTAGATTTGACGTAAAACCCGAATCGAAAACTCAAATAAGGAATCACGTCGCCAGTCGCCAACTAAAAAGCTTGCACTCGGGAGCTTTTGGTTATCTTGTGAATAAGAAAATTCAATAATATATAACTTTTTGTCTAAACTGTCGCAACAGTTTGCACAAGCTATGACTAATGTAGCATGCTCTTATATTGAAACCAGTACTTATAATAAATTTTGTACAAAATACTAAATTGCATAGTGGAGGATTCCAATTTTTTGTCGTTGAATGAAACTCAAATTAAGATAAATCCATTGGTATACTTTTAGTTTATTCAATAAATGTGCCTTTTTCCTACATTTGTTGTATGTATTTAGGGTTTTCAGTTTATACAAATGTTAAACTGAAGGGAAAATGTATACAGAGTTTAAGGTAAACTTAGTTTGTTTGAGAAAAGGTGTCTTGTATTGCCGAATCACATGCAGCGTTAAATAATAACTTAGTTTATATCCGGACTTTTGTGCTTTAAAATTCAGAATTTACGTCGTAGAATGTGCTAGCATTTCACATTTATAATAAATTCAAAATTTTTAAACTGCTTTTTTTTTTCTAATTTGATACGTTTTTGGCGTAGAATTTATTTTTGCCTTTTTTTTATGCGTTTTAAGTAAAGTTGTTTACGAGAGTGGCGAGAACGTCGGTGTTTCATGTGATTAACGTGTTCCTAACATTGATATTTCGCCCGAGGGTCGGAAATATTTGCTCTCAGAAATTTAATATACAATAACAAAATACAAGTGATGTAAATTTGGAATTTAAATATTCTCTGTGTGAATATTCATCTAAATTCATCCATAATCTTTTTTTTTTTTTTTTTTTTTCCCTCTCTTTTTCTGTCGTCGAAAACGAGGAGTTTTCCCGTGGTAACGAGATTTCAAGCCCTGTCGTATTATAATTACTGCTATCAAAATTATTGTGATAATGTGATTACTTTTACATATATGATATTTCTCATATTCCAATGAATGACAGAAGGCATTAATTTCGAAGTGGAAAATACGTCCTATGTTGTTCAACCTTATCGATAAGTGTCCACAAGGGACGAAGGACACAAAGGAACGGAATATTGACTAAATGCTTATCAAACACTTCCAGCGGTAAAAAGACTTTCCAATATCTAGAATTTTCACTATCTAAATGCAAATTATATCAAAACGCATCAAAAATCTGGGTAAAATTCGACTTTTCGCATTCCAAAAGGTATATCGTTTTACTGTTTTCGTTTTTTTTTTTTGTTGTTGTTGTTTTTTTTTTTGTTTTGTTTTTTTCGTTTTTCTGTTGTTGTTTTTTTAACGAGACAATCAATGAGAGTGCGTGCGAGCTTATCGTTTCAAGAAAATGAGATCAAAAATCCATTTTTTTCCAGAATGAAAATCATTAAGAACGCTCGCAAAGAATACTGGGATAAAAGTGACACCTTTCTCGAATTCCCCCATGAACCAAGCCTCCACACAGGAAACCCTTGCTCGAATTTGTATGTAGCATTTTTATAAATTCTAGCAAGAGTTTAGCATCAAAGAACCAAGCTTTCAAAAAATAAGCTGAGATTACAGCCCAAACTAGCCTCCTTTGCAGCCGTTCTTAGGGTCGTCACGCAACGTTTCCCTCCTTGGCTAAGCCCAAACGTACTCTGTTTTTCTTTAGTTTTTTTGTATTTATTTGTTGGTTTTGCTTTAGTGAGACGTTTGATGGACATGCGCAGTGCGTCTCACTCCTGTCACCCTTCGATACTCTGTTCAAACATACGAAAAATATTCTTCAAGCTAGTTAAATATTTAGAATCTTCAAGTGACAAAAACTAAGAAATGCAGATTTCTACAAAGAAAGCTTGCTCAATAATCACGCTTGTGAAGTAAACTTGTTTGCTAGCTCTTAAAGTTATGCCGAATTTTGTGCAGTTTTTCTTCGAAGTCGATTCAAACGTACAAAAATGTTCAAAATTACCTGTTATCTACAATCATTGCCATAATTAGTTGGCACGCTTGACAGATTTTAGTATTTTAGAGTGTACTTCGCAAAACACTACCTAGGACTAAACCCCCCCTCCCCCGTACAATGTTGGGATTCGTGCAAGTTGGCAGAGGGTTGGCGAGTCTTATCAGGGTTACCAACTTTCTTTCAGGGAACAGGAACATTGTACAGGGGGGAGGGGGAGAGCGCGACAGAGGAAAGCCATTTTCTGTGTTAGCCAAAATGTGCCATCGTGCCAAGTATTTTGGCAATGATTGTAGTTTGACTTCAGTGTAATGAACAGATATTAAAATTCTGATTAGTACTCTAATTGGTGGAAGAAAAATAATATGTTTTTAAATTAATTGCGAACTATAAACCTGTTTTTTCCTGTCTTAACGGGTTTTACAAATCGTAATTTTTCTTGTTTTTTCTTGTCAATTCATAGTTTTCGTTTGTTTTTCTAGCTGTCCCACCTTTATTTGCTTAAACGTAACTACAGTGATTCAAGTTACGGCGTACCTTTTGGTTATATTTTATATAGTAAAATAAAGAACTAGAATAGCAAGTAAGATTAAACCACGTCAAAGCAGAAGCAGGTTTTTGACTCCCAGATAACAATAATTGAATAAACGTGCAATCTAATTTTAGTTAGCTATTTTGAATCTATTGGATATTACATACTCCGTGTGTGGAAAGAGCACATCTTGGAAATTCCTTTGAAATTTATTTTTATTTTTTATCTCTTTCATATGAACATAACTCAATATTATTTGACTGTAGTTGCGTCGATTTTATGCAGCGATCATTGAAATAAAGATAAGAAACGTACTCTGAAAAGAAAATAATTACTGTAATTAATTCTGAATAAAAAGATTCGAGGTGCTTATTTGAAGTTCGCTTCGTGCCGGAGGGTTTGGTAAAGTAGAGTTGAATGTGATTGACAGCTTTTGCGGATTTCGTCTCTAACTAATCGTAAAACACGAAAATAAAACATGAACAGTCCTTGAATATTGAGTAGTAGTGTACACCATGCTAGACAAGACTGTCTTTTGTCTGTCTGTCTGTCTGTTCTCTCTCGCAGTTTGTTTTTGTCTGCCTGTCGTTTTCGTTTGTTTGTTTGTTTGTTTGTTTGTTTGTTTGTTTGTTTGTTTGTTTGCTTGTTTGCATATAAGAATGAAATTTCAAAGTCATCTCATTGGCCATGAGAATGGAATAACATTTACAAATATTTCGAAATCAAAGCGTTATCACCTTATCTTTTCCTGTTCTCATTCAATGGCCTTCAAGAACTTCCCGTCTGTAAAATATATGAAGTTCAATCACGTGCGTTTAGTGTGAGCTACCGCTGCAGACCTAGAATATACGTGTAGCACGGAAGCGAAAAACACTCGTTTTTCAAAAATTTCTCCGCAAAAAATTGTCAAATGTACCTTATTATATTTGTTCTTAAGAATGAAGAACTAAAACTCTGTTGTGTCAAACGACCTTTTACTCTAAAAATAAAATATCGTGATGCAAGAAAATATGCATGATTTTTCTAGAAAAAGTCTTTTAGTCATGGGAATTTCTAGACACATCTCTCGTGTTCCTTAACAACTGAATTTAAATAGATATATTGGACATTTAATAAGTTAAACTTCTTATCAAATCAATTAAAGAAACACTAGAATTCTAGCCAAAATTGTAGTATTATCAAACACATTACGCAACGATTTCACTTAGGATAAGCGTAGAAGTTCTAAATTTTCAAATAATTTTTAACCTTGAAGATTTAATCTCACATTTCGTCGTTTGAGGATGTTTACAAAACACGTCTATAACTTGTTATAACTTAATGAATATTGTATGACTGCGCATGACCTTGATATAACCATCTACGAACATTGATCGCAGATTCATATATAATCTCATCCAGTTGATTACGCGAAGCCGGAGTTCGGCGGAATAAACTGGAATTCAACATTGCTTTATGTCGTTTTAGTGACGGGACCTTAGTTCACACGAAATCACTACCATCACGACCATCATCACTATCTTCTCCAGTTTAGATATATGGTCATGCCTTTTCGGTAAGTATAAATTAGAAAATTGTAAAACTATAAACTTTTGCCACGAAGTTCTAAGTTTAACAAATATTTTCAATTTCAAATCTTTTCAATTTTTAAAAATTGAAGTATTCGCACAGGACTGACACCAGAGCGACAGGAAAATAACTATTAATTTAATCAATAAACTCTGGGGGGAACTTGTTTTTTAAGAAAAATAGAAAATATATAAAGGTATTTAAATCTTCGACAGGCCAGATAAAAGATTTATAGTTTCTACAGAGACCTTACCTCAATTCGTAACCTAATTTTACTCTCTTTTTTAACTGCTTTTATTGTTAGTAAAAGTTTCTTTTACCAGCTTTGAAATCAAATGTTTTATCTTAACAAATATCAACGAGTTTTGGTTTCATTGCAAAGTAAATTCTGTAGACTAAATATAATAATAAAATAAAGAAAATAGCTATTAAATAATGTACGAACTTGAATAGTTCTCCCAACTGGCGAAGATTCAAGGATCGGACGAGATTTCCTCTAGAAGTAAAGTAGCGATATAAACATTAAATGGTAAAATTAATTCATAGGCTATAACTTAGATTACTTGTCAGAGAGCTTTTTGAGATCTTATTTAGATATTAATGATGTGTTATTATCTTACAGTAAGGTTTCGCCTGATAAACACAATAAATAAGTCATGTATTTTGTCCCGCCAGTAATGAGGGGCTCACGCACGTGTATACAGGTACCTAAAGATTATTTTGAAGGTTTTGTAAAGAAATGCGGGACCAGAGCATGGCTTGAATTTAGAAAGATATAAAGTATTTAAAAAAAGAAAGAAGCAAAGGGAGAAAGGAAGAAAGGAAGAAAGGAAGAAAGGAAGAAA